GGAGTAACTACACGGCTCACCTGTGGAGTAACTACAAGGCTCACCTGTGGAGTAACTACACGGCTCACCTGTGGAGTAACTACACGGCTCACCTGTGGAGTAACTACAAGGATCACCTGTGGAGTAACTACAAGGCTCACCTGTGGAGTAACTACACGGCTCACCTGTGGAGTAACTACACTGCTCACCTGTGGAGTAACTAAAAGGCTCACCTGTGGAGAAACTACAAGGCTCACCTGTGGAGTAACTACAAGGCTCACCTGTGGAGTAACTACAAGGCTCACCTGTGAAGTAACTACACGGCTCACCTGTGGAGTAACTACACGGCTCACCTGTGGAGTAACTACACGGCTCACCTGTGGAGTAACTACAAGGCTCACCTGTGGAGTAACTACAAGGCTCACCTGTGGAGTAACTACACGGCTCACCTGTGGAGTAACTACAAGGCTCACCTGTGGAGTAACTACAAGGCTCACCTGTGGAGTAACTACAAGGCTCACCTGTGGAGTAACTACACGGCTCACCTGTGGAGTAACTACACGGCTCACCTGTGGAGTAACTACAAGGCTCACCTGTGGAGTAACTACAAGGTTCACCTGTGGAGTAACTACAAGGCTCACCTGTGGAGTAACTACACGGCTCACCTGTGGAGTAACTACAAGGCTCACCTGTGGAGTAACTACAAGGTTCACCTGTGGAGTAACTACAAGGCTCACCTGTGGAGTAACTACAAGGCTCACCTGTGGAGTAACTACAAGGCTCACCTGTGGAGTAACTACAAGGCTCACCTGTGGAGTAACTACAAGGCCCACCTGTGGAGTAACTACAAGGCTCACCTGTGGAGTAACTACAAGGTTCACCTGTGGAGTAACTACAAGGCTCACCTGTGGAGTAACTACAAGGCTCACCTGTGGAGTAACTACAAGGCTCACCTGTGTAGTAACTACAAGGCTCACCTGTGGAGTAACTACAAGGCTCATCTGTGGAGTAACTACAAGGCTCACCTGTGGAGTAACTACAAGGCTCACCTGTGGAGTAACTACAAGGCTCACCTGTGGAGTAACTACAAGGCTCACCTGTGGAGTAACTACAAGGCTTGCAGCATGCAAAAAATAAAAGTTAACTGTCTTTCGTTGTCTCAGAATGTGTAGATAACGTAACGTACGTGATTACTGCTACTGGGAACTGAGTTAAAAGCTCTAACTGTGGCAGACTTATGTCATTTATGTTACATAACATCGTTTGATGTGTTGACGTGTTGTGCTTACCTGTTTCTCAGCTGGCTGTTGACCTGCATCTTGGCAACTGTTGCTGGTGCCACACAAAGACGACATCTCCTGTGAGAGAACATTGACAACATGATGCAGATGAGATAATAGAGGCAAGAACAAAAGAGAACTGATTTACGGCTCTCACTAAATTCTTCTCATTCCTTTACCTCCTACACGTCAGTTGAGAACAAGCCACAGATTGTTTTGATGGGAGGAACGATGGGCAGGCTCAAAAACCTCAGATGCCACTATTGATTTGAACTTCTATTAAAATGCAAGAGTACTCAAAGGAAAAACCTTTAAGCTAAGGCTTTTTTCCAATAACATAAAAGCAAATGTGGACTTGACTGTGGATTTGATTGTAACATTTACAAATAAAAGGCTAACGATGTATGGTGTGATTACACATAAAGCAGAACTACACATGCTGGCTATTGTGTTCTCCAACACGTTCTCTCTGGCACGTCTCTACTGGGAATTGAAGTTTTAAAAGACGTTTTCGTTTTTCCCACAATTAGAAGTTGCCAGTATTAAACTGTGTACAGCCCTGGAGGTTTAGGCGATAGGAAACACATTGGTGTTATCAAATGTAAAACATATCATTAATAAATGGGTGAAAATCGCTTGTGTCCATAATGCGCAGTATTAATATATACCCACATGACAGCTCATTGTTACTTTGTAATTCTACTCCACTACAATTCAGAGGTTAACCTGGTATTTTTACTCCACTACATTTATTTGAGTTACTTTGCAGATTGTGATTAATGATGTGAAATATAAACAACCCTTAAATCAGACTTTAGTTCCACCTGAGTAAAATTCAGGGAAGGTGATTGTCAAGTGCCAACAATCAGGAGAGATATGTTACGGTGAGTGAAGCAAGCAGGACCCAAATGCAGATAACGCTGAAAAAAGCCTTTATTTCAAGGATAAAATAAAAATAACTTGGACAAAACAGAACTCTCACCGGTGAACTCATTCACAAGCAAAAGACGAACCAACACTGAACACAGGAAGGGACAAGACTAAATACAGGGAGGGGTAATCACGAGACGAGACACAGCCGGGCAGGGGAGGAGAAACACAAGGGCAACAGGTGAACACAATCAGACAATTAGACACACCAGGGAAACTAACGACAGGGAGGAAAACACAGGAAGAAGGACCAGAGGACAACACCCATAACCAGACATACAAAACTCTAAACGTGACATAACATGAGAATCCTGACAAGATATTTGATAGTTGGTGCTTGAGAAGACTAAACATTTATCTGCAGATATCTATAAAGTATATTCATTACTCGTTATTCTCTACTAATCGTTAATTAAAAACTGTGTAATTGCTATTTTGCACATCCCTTTCAAGATTTCAAGATTTTCTAAGGTTTATTGACATATCGTATACACAACTACGGTGTAGTTATGCAATGAATGAAAATCTTGGGTCACAGGTTCCTCAACAGTGCATTACAAGACATCTATCAATATGTGTGTACCTCCAGCATTAAACTGTCATAGTCTGCACATTTCTTATTCTATCTACATATATAAGAGTATAATTAATGTGTATAATATCAGTTAAAATAAGTGCTTCAACATAGTTAACATTGCAGGAAAGCAATATATTAGACGTTAAGTACTTTGTCAGGCTTAATATGTATCTGTAGATACCCTCAAAGCTTTTTTCTTATTTGAAAGAAGACCTTAACCTAAATAATTCTTTAATGTTTAAATAAAGGTTAATTAGTTTGTCTGTTTTGCACATCCTCATATTAATACCTGTGTACATCCTGCACTAAACTGTTTTATTGTAGAGATCACTTACAGCAGGGGTGCCCACACTTTTTCAGCTTGGGAGCTACTTTTAAAATGACCACGCCCAAATGATCTACTTACAGGACCGCCCCTGCCCAACCTGTGTCGTGAGCGGGGGGGGGGGGGGGGGGAGGGACTAAACACCTCCGGCATCTCTCCCTAAAATGTGCACTTAGGTTATTTCAGACCTCCAGGACAGAGTCCGGGAAAATCACCTCTCTTTGGCGGCTCACAGACCACCAAAGGACGGACTAATGACCTCCAGCATGTCTCCCTCACATGGGCACTTCCATAACCTTGCACACCGTGAGTGCCCGGGTACCCGCACTTAAGCACTCCCCCACGGACTAAACCCAGATATTCACACCCACCAGAACCTCGTGCCCCTGATAAGTAAAACTTAAAGGTGGTGAATTGTGTGGTGCTTTTATGTCCGCCCATCAGCATCCATATTCGTCCTTCTTCACGGCACCACCACCCCCCCTTCTGGGCTGGAGGTTCAAACACTTTAACTTTTTTTGACCGGAGTCATCCCATGTTAATTTTGTCCAAAAACCGGAGCATTCCCTCACCCCTGTCTTCGGCCCCCTGAGTTTCCCCGCCGCAGACTTCCCTGCTTTGTTTCTGTTCCCCCGGGCCGTCCGCACGAGTCTCGCTTATTGGCCTCTACCTTGCCCCCGGGCCGTCCACACGAGTCCCCCTTGTCGACCTCTGTCCGCCCGAGTCCCTCCTCCGGTCCCCCTCCACCCACCCTGGACTTTTTGTTTTTCCCCCGCTCCGTCCCTTGAGCAGTGGGGGGGGGGGGTAGTTTCACAATCTGTCTGTGTTGTGTTTTGTCTTGTCTAGATGTCTGTCTTTGGTTTCCTGTTTTATTTTTGAAAAGTGTTCACCCCCCCCCGTCTTGGCTGTTGCTTCCTGTCTCTGTGTTCCTTCCTGCCTGATTACCTGATTGTGTTCACCTGGTGCCCCTGTGTTTTCTCCTCCCTCCTCACCTGTGTCTTGTTTGTTTCATTAGTCCTGTGTGCATTTAGGTTCTGCTTTTTCTGTTAGTCTTTGTGAGCTCCTTGTTTGTTGTTGACTGTGTTCCTGGGGGAAAGTTCTGCTCTGTTTGTTACTTGAAGCCTTGAAATAAAGGTATTATCTGTTAAACCTGCATTTGGGTCTTGCCTGCTTCTCTGAACCCTGACACACAGCTTCCGGTCTTCCAAGACCCGACCGGACAAAAAGACGTGGTGCAGGCACTAAACATACTATCAATAGAAATGCATTGCTCTTAAAATCGTTCTATCCTATATAAAAGTTCAAATTTAATCGAATTTCTTTTTTTATTATTTGAACCTTTTGTTGTCTAAATATTACGAAATATTACGACTTTTTCTCCCTAAAATGTTGCTCACATTTCCAGTGGCGATTCTAGAGTATATGGGGGGGCTAGTATTCTGTGTTTTTTCACACACACACACACTTTCTCACAGACACACACTCACAGACACACTCAAACACTCTCTCTCACACACACACTATGTACACACACTCACACACACACACACACACTAACAGACACATACACTTTCTCACAGACACACACACTCTCTTTTACACTCATAGAAAGACAGAAACACACACACATACACACTCTCTCTCTCTCAAACACACGCACACACAAACTCACAGAGACACAAACACACGACGATATTAAAAGGTTGAGTTTGACACCTGTGCTTTAGAGATTTAGTAGAAACCTGTTTACGAGGCAACATAGCAAAGTATTTGCTCCGGGCGTTCTGACATTTGAATTACACGTATAACTAGACTGAGAAGTTTTCAGGAATGTTTGCATTAGTCTTTAGGGGCTGGAAGAGCAGCAACAGTATAAAAACAGACGGAGAGAGACACAGCGCCACATCAGAGCTGCACCTGAAGGACCAGAACTTCCAGGACCAGGACCTCAAGAGAAGCATCAGCTGCCCCAAACCTCCAGGACCTCCAGACGGTGAGTCTCCACTTCTTTCTCCTCACGGTCCTGCAGCTCCGTCAGGAAGCCTCCTGTGACTCGGTGCAGGGACCAGTCCCCTCAGAAACACAGAGAATCCTGAAGAGAGGTCCGTGTGAATGCTGAATGCTGAGCTTTCTGAGTAAAATATGAGGAGCACTTAGCAGCTGAAGTCTTAACAGTTTCTCCATTGACTTCTGTAGTGACATGTGGATGAATTATGGTGAATATTATTCATAGCATTCCTAACTGAGATTAACGTTGTCAGGCTTGAGTGAAGCAGGCAGGACCCAAATGCAGATTTCAAAGAAAAATAGCTTTATTCCAAGGCCAAAGCGTCAAAATCAGAACACTACCCCGTGACACAGTCAGAGACAAACAAGGAACCAACAATGACAGACAGAAAAACCAGAACTTAAATACACACAAGACTAATCAAAGAAACAAGAGACAGGTGAGGAGGGAGGAGAAAACACAGGGGAACAAGGTGAACACAATCGGGTAATCAGACAGGAGGGAACACAGACAGAAAGCAACAGGCAAGACAGGGGGTGAACACTTATCAAAATAAAACAGGAAACCAAAGACAAAACAAAACACAGACAGATCGTGACAAACGTTTTGATGTTTGAACCGAGTTTGTGGGTTGAAGATGTGGAAGTAGTTAAGTACAGAAAAGTGCACAGAAGACTAATAGAGGTAAAGACTTTTTGCTGTAGAAGAACGTACATTGTAAAACTTAATAAGTTGTGGTCATTTTTAAAAAAGTATGCAAACTCATTGCCTCACAATCACTAAGTTAAGTTAGTATGGTGAGTAGGAACAACTTGTTTATTAAGTACAACTAACACAACACTTTGAAGTTGTAAAAAAACATACATTGCATTAACTTAAAGGTCACCTATCATGCTTTCATACATACATATGTATCCCGGTGTGTCAAGAGACTCACAAAGGGGCGTGGCCAGCAGCAGCTTGGGCACGTTTGAAGCTACTGACCCAGAATCAGCTCTTTAGTCACAGGCCTGAAATAGAGGGGGATGAGGCTACAATGATCTGTTTGGGCTTTGGAGCAAAGCACTTCAGAGACATGTTTTTGATATCTCTGAAAGCTATAATATATGCCTAAGAATAGTATAACAGGAGACCTTTAACATATACCAAACAGTTGGCTCTATTGCTAGGTTCATTTCAATAAATGAACAACATGCACTTTAAACATTTCATGCAGGAGTAAGACAATGATTTAAGTACCTCCATATGAGTACTGTGAATACATGATTAAAGGGTTTAGCCTGTCTAAAACATGATGCCACTCATCACTTGTGTATTGTTATATTTTATAAATCTAAAAGTGTTCATTTATCTGAAGCACTTTGAGAGCATTATCAATAGGATATCCATGTTGTGTGCTCTCGTAACAAGTGTGTGCATTTGTAAAGCATTGAAAGAGAAACACACTGATTGTTTAACTATTAACGCTAACGACACAGAAAGAAAGTTCCATCTCCAGCTCACGGTGGAATTGGCATTACTCCTGGAGTTACTCGTGCACAGTGCTGCCCCTGACAGAGTCGGGCCTTCTCTACATAACGTGAGAAAGTGTGTTCATTGATGACAAAGCTGAGGAAAACTGATTTCCAGATATGTGTTCAGTTAAAAACCACCAGTACGTCTTCTTATCTCAATGTCTCAGTTTTGCTCACAGCCTCTTTGCATCACTAAACTGGTGGCATCAGGGAACCAGTCAGGGAGCATTTGACGGGTTTAGAGAACATTGTTTTGAATCTTCAGGAAGTGTATGAACCACTTCCTGCCGAGGACCCTTCATTGTGTACGCTGTTATTGTGTGTTATGGTGCGTTAACCCGGTGTTTGTGCCTCTTCCTCTGCAGAGTCATGAAGCTGCTCCTCCTGCTGGCAGGTAAGCAGCATCGCAGGCTTCACTGTGACAAACAACATGTGTTTGAAAGGCATTATGAATGCGTTTCAAAGTCAAGTCCTCTGTGCATAGAGTCACTGCGAGTGTGTAATAGCCCCGCACTACTCTACTGTCTGCTTTGTGCAAATAAAACAAGATAATGTTTGAATGATAGACTTTTAAAACATGAGCTCATCCATGAAATCAATATCAATGTGAACGGGTAGCTCTTATTCAACATGTTGATGGCTTCAGTTAATGAGGGGGTTAGCCTTCAACCACTTGTATTTATGAATGGCACAGAACCCAGATCCCCTGTATACATTCACCCTGAAGGAGCACATGTTTTACAGAACAAATAAGGATATCATTATTCACTCATTGCACTGATGAGTGTCACTTCAAGTCAGAGGAGAGGCTTCAGGGAACGATGAGTGTTCAGGTTGTTCTTGATGGATGTGTTTCTCCTGGAACTCCTGCAGTTGCTGCCAGCCAGATGGAGCTCTCTGCCTCTGAGACTGTTACTCTGAATGCTCCTGGTGGAAACATCAACATCAGCGACGTTCCCATCACTTTCTATGGAAAAACCTACACATTGTTACACGTGAGTACAATGACCCCCTGACTGACTGTGTGGCCTCTAACATTGCCCGTCGTATCCCTATTTTAGGCACTCCAGCTTCGGATGTCCGACCGCTAGGATAGCAACATGGAGTGTGTAGTGTAGTAGATGTTGGTGGGCTGGTAGAACCCCAGAGCAGTATCTGCCCCTGCAGGAGAATCCCTCTGTCGTTGGGAGACCCCTTGGTAATTAGGGCAGCTTCAGGACCCACAATCCCTAACCCCCCATTTTATATCATATCTCAACATCAATCAACACCACATCAACCACAGTGACCAATGGAACTATAGTTGAACTTAAACAGGGTTTCTATTCAATACTAATGTCAGCCTTTTCCAAGGAAGGGTGTTCTTACCTCACTCTGAGACCAAGCAGAAACCTTCAGAGACCACGAGAGAGACCAGGAGTTGGGTCGAAGTGTACAAAGTATTAAGGTTTTAACAGAAATAGAGGATTACAAGAATCCTAAACAATAAGACACCAAGTCAAAATACAAAAGCAACAGGCTCACAAGTCAAATGTTCTAAAGCCGTCTCATTCCTTCTCCTCCATTCTTCTTCACTGCTTCTTCCTCCTCCCTCTCTGCGTCAGGTGGTCTCCCCCTTCCTCTCTTTGAGTCAGAAGGAGGTCACAACTGTTTTAATCATTGAACATTAAAACATGTAAGGTTTAAAAATAAAACAAATAAAGACTTATAGTAATGCCATGTCATTTGAAAGAGAGGGAATATGAAGCAAAGTTATGAGAGCAGAACACTTTGTCAATGTCATGTTTAGAATCAGGGGTTTTTCTTTAAACCTTTCCATTTGAAATATAGAAACTTTATACTTGAATTCATGAACAGATCAAAAGTTCAGAATGCTCCATCTAGTTTCACATGTTTGGTTTCACATGTCTGAACAGACATGATGGAAACTACATCCTTTCTATTTCCAGCCAATGGAGCATCTTGTTATCAATGGTAGCTCAATAGAGGTCGTGAGGTGAAGGTCAGGTCTGTCACGGCCACTTACACAGCAGAACTGTCAACACTACACATAATAAAGCTATTATAGATATGACACATAACTCACTGTTTAATATGTTATCACTCACAGTCCTCAGAATCAGTCCCTAGTGTTTTTGTCTTGATCTTCTTTATATCTAGATGTAAGCGGTTTGTTACCTTTCAGCGTGTCAGCCTGTAAATATGGGAGCACATGAATAATGACATGTTGCTAAAGGCGGAGAATGAATTGAGTTTTACACACAAAGTTTAAAGTGTGCTTTTTGTGCCAGCTGTTATTTTGGGTATTATGAAAGTTTCCCCTCATATTATTCAATATCAGACGCTCTGAGACAGGCTTGGTCCCATAATGCATCACTGTGAGTCTGGTCCTGAGCTGGAAAGTGAGCGTAACATTCCCCTCTGGGGTCTATGGGGTCAGGCACTGATCAGATCAGTTCAATGGAGTGGGGACAGATCATTACTAGAGCCAACAGGAAGTGGTTTGGAGCAGCTGGACGCGTCTCTTTGATTCCTCATGTGTCTCTGTATGAAAGGACACATAAAGACTTGTTGGACAGTGGCTTGTAGAAAGCTTTTTTCCAAAGTGAGAGAAATGTTTTGATCTCATCATTGATCCTATCTTTTTTCTCCGTAGCTAAAAGCACACCTTGCAGCTCAAACATTTGAGGAGAGGAAACGATGCTGTTTTGGAGCGAAAGCCTTCATATTGTTGTTCCCTTTTTGTTTTTGCAGGCGAAGATCGGCAATAAGACTGAAATTTGTTTCAAAAATGACCCATCTGAGGACGACATTGACTGTGTGGTGACCAGCGAGATGGTTTCAACCAAACTGAAGTACTCTGTTGATGTTAGGTCATTTTCTGCTCGCTCTGATCTTGTTAACATCAACACCCAGGGACTGGGTATGATTCCTCTCAAGTTCTTCAATGGTGAAACATACAATGTGAGTCCTGATCCGATCCCTGTTACACACCGACTGGCTGTCCAGCTGTTTGTACAACATGAACATTTCAAAGACATTGTGTGGCAAAGACAACTTCAAATCAAAGTTTATTTGTAAAATGTTGGAAGCATTTCCTAATATTTCTCTTCTGTTCCTGCTTTCAGATGCGGTTGGTATTCCTCAATTATGGTTTACAAGCTGCTTGCTATACATATCATCCTGCTAGCCGTCCGTTTTCTGCTAGTTTAGTAAGTATGACATGAGGCTCTTACCTAACCCTAACCCTTCAGCCTCACCGATGTTGAGAGTTACACTTTGTCAGGTCCCGATACCAATGCAATGTGTTCCTGTTTGTTTCTGTGTGCCAGGGAAACTCATATCCTAAATCCTTTATGTTAGAAAGCTGCTGTCTTCCAGCCTTCCTCACACGCACTCTGAATGAGAACTGATCCCTGAGAAGACTTCTGTACCCTAACCACCCTGAGAGATGAGAACTGAGGCTGTGTGTGATCCATTATTCCTTTGTCTCACCATCAGACATCATTCATATGAATACAGAACAAGCTTTCAGTTCAGCAAGGATAGGTGAATGGAGAAGACACCGTGCAGTCTGTTTGCTCCTCTAAGCCTCTCCTTTTAAAACTCTCTTCTTATGTTCACTTCTAAACAGAGATAGGTGTCAGAAATAATGTCATACTCAGCCTTAGAGTTTCAGGAAGCAGAAGTCACTCAGCATCATGTGTTAGCATGAAGACAAAGAGAGTTATTATCAGTGACACCACATGTAGCTGCTAGCATGCAGAGCTAACGGGGCAGGCTGGACTCACAGCACCAGGTGGTTCTGCTCCTTCCTGCCCTCAAGTGGACAAAGGAGTTCATTAGAAATATCAATCTGGAATAATGAAGGAGCTCCCCACTGCTCTCACTGTCACTTCATGCCCTAACATCGGAGGAAATATATCACAAGTGGATTCTAGAACACTTTCATTCATGTTTACAGTATTGAGGTTACCTTTGTTTTTAATGATTGTGTTTACTAGTTATTTGAAATGTGTTTTTAAGGTTCAAACATCTGTCCAGGGACTACAGGTGTAAAAGAGCCTCTTGGCTAACTCTGGCACATTTACAGAAATGGTTCTTAGTGTGCAATGTCCCTGTTAAATAAATAATATACATACAAATGTATTCTGTTTAATCCTTTACTAGGAAATGTCTACAAAAGTCGGTGGCACAGTGATGGATACCTGGAAGCCTCCTGCACGCAAATTTACTTATCGAGACCTGAGTGGATGCAGAGGCTCAGGTAAGCTGGTCTGAGGGTTCCCAAAGAAAGGGATCCTCTAAGTGAAATGTGATATTAAAACATGTCTATCTTAAAATCTGCCTGTAGTCACTGAAGTGTAATATCATTACCTCCATTCTCCTCCAAGGTGGCGCTGCAATGCCGGGTTCAGAGATGCCCAGCGCAGAGCCCTGCTCTGTTGAACTGTGTTCTCTGTCTGCAGTCCTCGCTAATGTCACAGCATGTGGGCCCGAGGAGGTTTGCCAAGCGGACAACACGTAAATATGTGCTCTTTCTATCAGGAATAAAGGTCTGACTGATTTGAATAAAGTGTCCCATGTGATCGAACCCTCCATGAGAGAGTGAGGATATTATCCACCTGAGGATTATTGCAGTTATTGATGAATCTGATCCTATTTCTATCACCCCTTTCCACCAAAGCAGTTCCAGGGTCAGTTCAGAGCTAGTGCCCGATAGCTCTCCAGTCCTTTCATGGTTTCCATGAGAAAAACTGGTTTGTGTTAGGAACCAGAGCTCTGCTGGACTGGAACCAAGAACCAGATCTGTGTGGAGGCTGGGTCAGATCACTAGAGCCGAGCAAAGTGACCAAAACGAGACTCACACTTTTGTTTATGTCCCGCCACCTTCCCCGGGCAAACGTAGAGATACGCTCGCTCTCATGGCCCGCTTTGAGGAGCAGCACGACCCGTTCTCCTGTTGTTTTTAAACCAGCTTTCAGGTGTGATCACTTCATACCGTAGGCTACACAAGTTGTCATATCAGATCACAAGTGAAATCCTATTGAAAGAACGCCGGTAGAAACGACAAATGACACAATGATAGCAACATGTGCATTTATGGAGAATAATTAAAACGCCGTAACCATCTAATGTTCATCATGTGTTATTATTTTAAATACGTTTAATTTAGTTTGATGGCTCTTAATCTGGTTGTTGCTTCATCAGACTGGCTATGCTAACATCATCCATATGATACAGGGAAACGTTTGCAGGTAACGTCAAACATTGCACATTAAAACTGAACAAAATATGAATCACTGGGGACATCTGCATCTGTTGCTTTAGAGACAGTCAGCAGTGAATTACTGACTGTCACTAAAGCCACGGGGAATGCCTCTGAATCCTAGTGGGAACAGTTCAACCTGGATCTGAAGAAGAGCAACGAGAGCACAGCTCCAATGCAGCCGCCATTGCTGTAGTTTTTGCCTGAGCTGGCTTTGCTGGAAAATGCAGGGACGTAAACAGTGCTGTCGGATGAACAGGTAACTGGTCCAACATTGAGAACCAACCGTCCCAACTAACACGGCTCTCATTTCAGTGGAAAGGGCTTTCAAGTCCATCCATTATTGTTTCTGATCAGCTGGGGAACGGTTCAGTCTATAAATCCTAAAAAACCTTCTCCACTTATTTCCCATTGCACTTCTTTGCCATGGTGGGCCTCGTGATGGACACTTTCTGAAAAGAGATCCAGATGGATGCACAGCGTCTCGGTGTGTGTGCAGTGTTCCTATAAAGTGATCCTTTGACCTCTCCTTCATGCTTTACACATGTTTCAATCCTCCGAGGCCAGCTCCATCAGTACTGTAGTGCTGCGTCCATAAGACCAAACCGCAGATATCCGGGTTGTCCCAAGTAGAGTTGAGCATTACCCATAATGCAACAGAATATCACTGTATGGCCTGTTTTATAAAATACTTCAAGATGTTTAGTATTCCACACGTATTTATGAGAGAGATATTATTATATGTGTACGTGTTTCACAGGCTGAATGTAACTCTACTGACCTTTATGTGTCATATTGTGAACTTTGAGAAGGGTTCATTTCCTTTGAGTTTAGGATGAGTGTAAAGTATGTCTGTCTTAAAAAGACCCAGACTGTGAGTCCCTCTCCATGTCTTCTTTTACATATCATATTCTATTTACATGTTTATAGACTTTTTGCACTACTTTTTATGTTTGTATTTTATTATATATGTTGCATCGTTGCAGGAGCTCAGGTCCGAAGCATGTCATTGCCATCTCTCCACTGCAGCTTTGTGCATATGACAATGAACCCTTTGAATTGAATGTTGAATTGAATGTTGAATTGAATGTTGAATTGAATGTCCATCAGGTGCGCTATTCCTCCGGTGGTGTGCACGGTGACGGGCTCCACGGTGATTGGTTTCCACGGAGCAGTGCACTCTGTCCAGGATCGCTGTGCCTACAGTCTGATGGAGCCTGAAGGCAGCGCCAGCTTCAACCTCACGGCCGCCTTCAGGGAGCGCCGGCGTACAGATGTTCCTCTTCTGGACCACCTGATCCTGTCGCTGCCAGGTGGACCATGTATCTGGAGCAAGGAGGAAGAGTTCGGGTACGGTAGCACGTTTGTAGTTATGGGTGCTCAAGCAATGCTGATCATTTCCTGCTAGGAGTTACTTTGTGGTGGTGTATCACAAAACCCTCTGTGTGTGTGTGTGTGTGTGTGTGTGTGTGTGTGTGTGTGTGTGTGTGTGTGTGTGGTGTGTGTGTGTGTGTGTGTGTGTGTGTGTGTGTGTGTGGTGTGTGTGTGTGTGTGTGGTGTGTGTGTGTGTGTGTGTGTGTGTGTGTGGTGTGTGTGTGTGTGTGTGTGTGTGGTGTGTGTGTGTGTGTGTGTGTGTGTGTGTGTGTGTGTGTGTGTGGGTGTGTGTGTGTGTGTGTGTGTGTGTGTGTGTGTGTGTGTGTGTGTGTGTGTGTGTGTGTGTGTTGTGTGGTTGTTGGTGTTGTGTGTGTGTGTGTGTGTGTGTGTGTGTGTGTAGGTTGGTGGTGAAGCCCTGGTGCTCAACAGCACAGCTCAGCTGATGCACGGCGTGGAGCTCTCCAAGGACCAGACTGGAGTCACTGCTAAGTTCCCGTCCTCCAACATGACTCTCTTTTTTGATGGCAACAGCGCACATGTGGCAGGTACAGACCAGTACTTCCAATCTGGACTGAATATTACATATTTATTTCTGAAGCATAGCTTTAATTGTACCCTCACATCCACCAGGACTTCCTGAAGCTGTAGAGGGTTTGTGTGGCAGCCCCTCCAACTCCAGCTGGACCACCAGCCTGACTGCCGAGAAGTCCTCTGTCAGCCTCCCTGGGTACCGCTCAGTCTGACTGATATTACCTATTTGTCATGATTAGGGTTCAGATGTGATGTGATCTTTGTCTCCCTCTAGCTGTGAGATTCAATCCCAGGACTCAGTCGACAGCACCATCAACTGCAACCGCTCCACCGACCAGTAAGAGCTGAGCCATGAACACCCTCGTCTTGTCATGCCATATAAGCAGCGTTGTTTCTGCAAGATCAACCAATGTAACACGGAAAACTCTTCCCTCTGAACAGCTGTAATCTCATGAGGCAGCCTCCCTTCTCCGCCTGTCACGAGCACACCGACCCAGAGCCGTACATCAGCGCCTGCACACACACTCTGTGCAGTTACCCGTCAGTGGATGGGGTCGACTGCCACTTTTTGGAGGCTTACGCCAAGACCTGCAGCCTGGAAGCCAACGTGACCCTGGAGGACTGGAGGTCAACTTCTGGCTGCTGTAAGATTCTCTATTTCCATTCGTACTGGAACTCGTGCAGTCAAGCAGACATATTTGATCAAATGTATCCTACAATCAACCAGAAGCCAAGGCTCCCTAATAAATGGAAAACAAAGTAAAGAAGCAGATACATGAATTAAGTTGTGTGTGTGTGTGTGTGTGTGTGTGTGTGTGTGTGTGTGTGTGTGTGTGTGTGTGTGTGTGTGTGTGTGTGTGTGTGTGTGTGTGTGTGTGTGTGTGTGTTTGCGCGTGTGTGTGCAGCCTCCCCCCCCTCTCTGTCAGCAGCCCTGCAGTGATCATGAGTTCTGTGGAGAGGAGTTAGGTTCGACCCGCTGCTTCTGCAGGGCTCTGTTCGCCTCCAAGTACAACGCCACCAAGTCTTTCGGTACGGAGCATATCACACCGTTTCCTCTGCTTGCACTGGTCTGAATTAGGGATGTGGTTATTTACCAACAGCCTGCTGCTAACAGCTGCTTTGATGCTGAGCTCTGCCAGAAAAAATATATTGTTTAGTGTGGAATTAGAAACAGCTTTCATTATAGTGTCAAATACATTCTGTCAGTAACTCCACTGCCCGTTATAGTCCACGTTGAAGTGTCGGTGTGTGGTTGAAGTGTCGGTGTGTGGTTGAAGTGTCGGTGTGTGGTTGAAGTGTCGGTGTGCCGTTGAAGTGTCGGTGTGCCGTTGAAGTGTCGGTGTGCGGTTGAAGTGTCGGTGTGCGGTTGAAGTGTCGGTGTGCGGTTGAAGTGTCGGTGTGTGGTTAAAGTGTCGGAGTGTCGTTGAAGTGTCGGTGTGTGGTTGAAGTGTCGGAGTGCGGTTGAAGTGTCGGAGTGTGGTTGAAGTGTCGGAGTGCCGTTGAAGTGTCGGTGTGCGGTTGAAGTGTCGGAGTGTGGTTGAAGTGTCGGTGTGTCGTTGAAGTGTCGGAGTGTCGTTGAAGTGTCGGTGTGCGGTTGAAGTGTCGGAGTGTGGTTGAAGTGTCGGAGTGTCGTTGAAGTGTCGGTGTGCGGTTGAAGTGTCGGAGTGTGGTTGAAGTGTCGGTGTGTGGTTGAAGTGTCGGAGTGTCGTTGAAGTGGTCGGTGGTGTGGTTGAAGTGGGTCGGAGTGTTGGTTGAAGTGGCCGGTGTGCGGTTGAAGTGTCGGTGTGCGGTTGAAGTGTCGGATGTGTGGTATGAAAGTGTCGGTGGTGCGTCGTTGAAGGGGTCGGGTGCGGTTGAAGTGTCGTGGGTTGAAGTGTCAGTGTGCGTTGAAGTGTCGGTGTGTCGGGTTGAAGTGTCGGTGTGCGGTTGAAGTGTCGGTGTGTGAAGTGTCGGTGTGGCCGTTTGAAGTGTCGGTGTGTCGTTGAAGTGTCGGTGTGTGGTTGAAGGTCGGTGTGTTGTTTGAAGTGTCGGTGTCGTTGAAGTTCGGTGTGTGGTTGAAGTGTCGGTGTGGTGTTGACGGTCGAGTGTGCGGTTGGTGTCGTTGGTGCGGTTGATGGTGTGTGGTTGAAGTGTCGGTGTGTGTTTGAAGTGTCGGTGTGCGGTTTGAAGTGTCGGTGTCGGTGTGAAGTGTCGTGTGTTTGGAAGTGTCGGTGTGTGGTTGAAGTGGTGTCGGTTGCGTTTGAAGTGTCGGTGTGTGGTTGAAGTGTCGGTGTGTCGTTGAAGTGTCGGTGTGTGGTTGAAGTGTCGGTGTGTTTTGAAGTGTCGGTGTGGCGGTTGAAGTGTCGGTGTGTCGTGAAGTGTCGGTGTGTGGTTGAAGTGTCGGTGTGTGGTTGAAGTGTCGGTGTGCGGTTGAAGTGTCGGTGTGTGGGAAGTGTCGGTGTTGGTTGAAGTGTCGGTGTGCGGTTGAAGTGTCCGGTGTGTTGTTGAAGTGTCGTGTGCGGTTGAAGTGTCGGTGTGTCGTTGAAGTGTCGGTGTGGTGGTTGAAGTGTCGGTGTGTTGTTGAAAGTGTCGGTGTGCGGGTGAATTGAAGTGTCGGTGTGCGGTTGAAGTGTAGGTGTTGCGGTTGAAGTGTCGGTGTGTCGTTGAAGTGTCAGTGTGCGGTTAAAGTGTCGGTGTGTCGTTGAAGTGTCGGTGTGCGGTTGAAGTGTCGGTGTGCGGTTGGTGTGTGGTTGAAGTGTCGGTGTGCGGTTGAAGTGTCGGTGTGTGGTTGGTGTGTGGTTGAAGTGTCGGTGTGCGGTTGAAGTGTCGGTGTGTCGTTGAAGTGTCGGTGTGCGGTTGAAGTGTCGGTGTGTGGTTGAAATGTCGGTGTGTGGTTGAAGTGTCGGTGTGTCGTTGAAGTGTCGGTGTGTCGTTTGAAGTGTCGGTGTGTGGTTGAAGTGTAGGTGTGCGGTTGAAGTGTCGGTGTGCGGTTGAAGTGTCGGTGTGTGGTTGAAGTGTCGGTGTGTTGCAGGCGATCCCACGGTCTGCAGGCAGGACTCGGCCTCTGTGGTTCTGGCTGGATGTCTGCTGGACGACAAAGGCATCGACTTCTCCACCTTACACCTCAAAGACCCCAGTTGCAAGGGCCACATGGACCCCCAGAGCCACCTGGTGACCTTCAGCTTCAACAGCAGCGCCCCCTGCGGGACGGAGGTCATGGTGCGTGGTTATCACTTCCTCTAGACTCAAGGCGGGTTATTTTCAGAGCGTCTTTGGGCAAACGAGAAGCATGTGAAGCTGCTTTAACTGAGTCCTGTTCAGTTGGTTATTGACACCTGCAGCCCTCAGAAGAGCTTAATGATCGATGGAAGGGAAGGAACAGGCTTCAGTCACCCTGTTTAACTTTAATTAAATACCGGGAGAGCATCTCCTCTAGTTCCCTTTATTGATTAGAGACCATGTGATTTATGACCTGGATGGTTTGGACTGTGAACTCCAACACTGACCGTTCTCTGTCAGGATGGAACCGTCAGCAGTGAGCACTGGAATAATGTGGCCACGGCCGTTAACCAGTTAAGCCCCGAGCCTGTTGTTCAGGTCTCAGGCTCGAAAATGGCATTCCCAGAACAAATGACCATATCTTCTAAAAGGGTTCAATTAATAATCTGTTTTCTCAAAGCAATGATAAACCTGTGAGTTGGATGTAGAAAAGTCAGAATCAATATAGATGTTTTAAATGTTAAAGAAAATTCAGATTGAACTTGTAAAAAACTGTAAATTATTGTCCGTCCAAAAATAATTGTTTTACTTATAGTGAAAACTCATCTGTGAATGAAGAAGAGAAGAACCTTTTTGTATCCAAAATAGTTCCAGATGGCAGATGTTGCTTTTCTTTTTGGAAGTAAATCTTCATTCTCGCCGGTATTGTCCTCCTGTGCCTCGCTCATTTTTCACCGGTGTTTTGATGGTCTGCAAACTAGCGGGGCGGAGCCTGCTATGATCTGATCAGTAGACTGGTTAGTAGACTAAAAGCTTTAGGAATCCAAAGTACAACATATAATAAGTACCCTGTATCAAGATTGATGCAAAACAAGTGAAATATGACCTTTTTAGACAGATTTAGCAACAACAAAAACACTTCTGGGGTCTTTTGGGTGGATTTTCCATATCTCTGGCCCCCTTTGTCGATTTTGGTGATTGACATCTTTCTGACTGTTTTTGACCAGACTACGACACAGGTAAGCCATGTTAGCGTTTCTAGCTACCTAGCGCCACATGCTTTGATGTCTCTTTTTGTTTATAAAGTCGCAAGTTCGTATCATTGAGTGATAATGTTTGTACCCATCGATTCTGTGTCATCTCACGATCAGAGCGATGGGTTGGATGTGCAGAATGGATCAATAATAAGGTTTTGTGAGTGAGTTTCGGTGCAGTAAATCTGTTAGCATTTTTCGCCCGTTGCTAATTCAGAGGCTCAGCGTTAGCATTGTGGGATAAAAAAAAAAAAAGATCAGCTAGATGAGTTTCTTCCCGTTACATGGATACAAAACATTCATAGTTGTAAAGGAATATTTTGGTCTTGTTAAAGTATATAGAGTTTAGTGATTTGTCCTCGGGAATCTGTTTAATATGGTTGAAGTTTATTCCTGCCTGTAATGTGATCCATAGCTTCTCAGGAAGACACAGGTCAAGAGGTCATCTGATGTCTTGTGGGGGAGAAGCTTGGCTCATGTGGGGTTACAATGCAACGAGTCTTTGTCTCGACATCTGGCATGCATTAAAGGAAAACCCGCGTGTTTTAGGGCCCTCCTCTTCTTGTCTGTATAGTTGGGTTCTTGGCGCTTTTAGGCGTCAGAGTTTGCTGGGATCTTACATGAGAACTGTGATATGCTGTGAACTCTCCGGCCGTTCAGGCTCTCAATAAATATCAGTGTATTGACAGGCGAATCCAGTTTCCCTCATTTGATGATGCGCTCAACATTGCTGCAAATAAGTTTTTACTTCACAATAGTTTATTAAATGAACATGCCCTCAGACACTGTTTCCTGACAGATGTTGCGGGAGGGCCCCGGTACCGGGGTCTCTCGGGCTTAACAGGTTAAATGAACTCATTTTCACATTGCAGAGAAAACAACAGCCAGATCTTCTACGAGAACTCCATCATGTCCTCGAACAGCTCATCAGGCGGAGTCATCACCCGCAGCGACCAGTTCCAGATCGACTTCTCCTGCAAGTACACACAGCCAGAGGTCAGGAGTGTGTCCTTCAGGATCAAAGACAGGTGAGCGTCACCTGGTCCTTAATGTACCACAGCTCCAAGCGTCACACTGCTAAACTGTGTTTGGTGTGTGTGTGTGTGTGTGTGTGTGTGTGTGTGTGTGTGTGTGTGTGTGTGTGTGTGTGTGTGTGTGTGTGTGTGTGTGTGTGTGTGTGTGTGTGTGTGTGTGTGTGTGTGTGTGTGTGTGTGTGTGTGTGTGTGTGTGTGTGTTGTGTGTTGTGGTGTGTTGTGTTGTGTGTGTGTTGTGTGTGGTGTGTGTGTGTTGTGTGTGTGTGTGTGTGTGTGTGTGTGTGTGTGTGTGTGTGTGTGTGTGTGTGTGTTGTGTGTGTGTGTGCAGCTCTGTGGTGCAGCCGCTTGTACTCTGGAGATGTGGAACACACTCTGACGATGAGCTCCTTCAGCGACGCCGGCCTCCTGCAGCCGGTCGGCCCGAACACGGAGATCCTGCTGAACCAGAAGGTCTGGCTGCAGCTGGAGGCGGTGGGGCTGGACGCCAACATGGTCGCCATGGTGACAGACTCCTGCTGGGCAACCAATCAGGCATCACCTGACAGTAATCTGCGATATGACCTCATCATCAAAGGGTGAGGAAATAAACTCTGACTGTTGGAACAGAATAAACTCTGACTGTTAGAACAGAATAAACTCTGACTGTTGGAACAGAATAAACTCTGACTGTTAGAACAGAATAAACTCTGACTGTTAGAACAGAATAAACTCTGACTGTTAGAACAGAATAAACTCTGACTGTTAGAACAGAATAAACTCTGACTGTTTGGAACAGAATAAACTCTGACTGTTAGAACAGAATAAACTCTGACTGTTAGAACAGAATAAACTCTGACTGTTGGAACAGAATAAACTCTGACTGTTGGAACAGAATAAACTCTGACTGTTAGAACAGAATAAACTCTGACTGTTGGAACAGAATAAACTCTGACTGTTAGAACAGAATGAACTCTGACTGTTGGAACAGAATAAACTCTGACTGTTAGAACAGAATGAACTCTGACTGTTGGAACAGAATAAACTCTGACTGTTGGAACAGAATAAACTCTGACTGTTAGAACAGAATGAACTCTGACTGTTGGAACAGAATGAACTCTGACTGTTAGAACAGAATAAACTCTGACTGTTAGAACAGAATGAACTCTGACTGTTAGAACAGAATAAACTCTGACTGTTAGAACAGAAATGAAACTCTGACTGTTAGAACAGAATAAACTCTGACTGTTGGAACAGAATAAACTCTGACTGTTAGAACAGAATAAACTCTGACTGTTAGAACAGAATAAACTCTGACTGTTAGAACAGAATAAACTCTGACTGTTAGAACAGAATGAACTCTGACTGTTAGAACAGAATAAACTCTGACTGTTGGAACAGAATAAACTCTGACTGTTAGAACAGAATAAACTCTGACTGTTGGAACAGAATAAACTCTGACTGTTAGAACAGAATAACTCTGACTGTTAGAACAGAATAAACTCTGACTGTTAGAACAGAATAAACTCTGACTGTTAGAACAGAATAAACTCTGACTGTTAGAACAGAATAAACTCTGACTGTTAGAACAGAATAAACTCTGACTGTTGGAACAGAATAAACTCTGACTGTTAGAACAGAATGAACTCTGACTGTTGGAACAGAATAAACTCTAACTGTTGGAACAGAATAAACTCTGACTGTTGGAACAGAATAAACTCTGACTGTTAGAACAGAATAAACTCTGACTGTTAGAACAGAATAAACTCTGACTGTTAGAACAGAATAAACTCTGACTGTTGGAACAGAATAAACTCTGACTGTTGGAACAGAATAAACTCTGACTGTTGGAACAGAATAAACTCTGACTGTTGGAACAGAATGAACTCTGACTGTTAGAACAGAATAAACTCTGACTGTTGGAACAGAATAAACTCTGACTGTTGGAACAGAATAAACTCTGACTGTTGGAACAGAATAAACTCTGACTGTTGGAACAGAATAAACTCTGACTGTTAGAACAGAATAAACTCTGACTGTTAGAACAGAATAAACTCTGACTGTTAGAACAGAATAAACTCTGACTGTTGGAACAGAATAAACTCTGACTGTTGGAACAGAATAAACTCTGACTGTTGGAACAGAATAAACTCTGACTGTTGGAACAGAATAAACTCTGACTGTTGGAACAGAATAAACTCTGACTGTTAGAACAGAATGAACTGACTGTTGGAACAGAATAAACTCTGACTGTTAGAACAGAATAAACTCTGACTGTTAGAACAGAATAAACTCTGACTGTTAGAACAGAATAAACTCTGACTGTTAGAACAGAATAAACTCTGACTGTTGGAACAGAATAAACTCTGACTGTTAGAACAGAATAAACTCTGACTGTTAGAACAGAATAAACTCTGACTGTTGGAACAGAATAAACTCTGACTGTTGGAACAGAATAAACTCTGACTGTTGGAACAGAATAAAACTCTGACTGTTAGAACAGAATGAACTCTGACTGTTAGAACAGAATAAACTCTGACTGTTAGAACAGAATGAACTCTGACTGTTGGAACAGAATAAACTCTGACTGTTGGAACAGAATGAACTCTGACTGTTGGAACAGAATAAACTCTGACTGTTAGAACAGAATAAACTCTGACTGTTAGAACAGAATAAACTCTGACTGTTGGAACAGAATAAACTCTGACTGTTGGAACAGAATGAACTCTGACTGTTAGAACAGAATAAACTCTGACTGTTGGAACAGAATAAACTCTGACTGTTAAAACAGAATAAACTCTGACTGTTGGAACAGAATAAACTCTGACTGTTAGAACAGAATAAACTCTGACTGGTTGGAACAGAATAAACTCTGACTGTAGAACAGAATAAACTCTGACTGTTGGAACAGAATAAACTCTGACTGTTGGAACAGAATAAACTCTGACTGTTGGAACAGAATAACTCTGACTGTTAGAACAGATAAACTCTGACTGTTGGAACAGAATAAAACTCTGACTGTTGGAACAGAAATGAACTCTGACTGTTGGAACAGAATAAACTCTGACTGTTAGAACAGAATAAACTCTGACTGTTAGAACAGAATAAACTCTGACTGTTGGACAGAATAAACTCTGACTGTTGGAACAGAATGAACTCTGACTGTTAGAACAGAATAAACTCTGACTGTTGGAACAGAATAAACTCTGACTGTTAAAACAGAATAAACTCTGACTGTTAGAACAGAATGAACTCTGACTGTTAGAACAGAATAAACTCTGACTGTTAGAACAGAATAAACTCTGACTGTTGGAACAGAATAAACTCTGACTGTTGGAACAGAATAACTCTGACTGTTGGAACAGAATAAACTCTGACTGTTAGAACAGAATAAACTCTGACTGTTGGAACAGAATAAACTCTGACTGTTAGAACAGAATAAACTCTGACTGTTGGAACAGAATAACTCTGACCTGTTGGAACAGAATAAACTCTGACTGTTGGAACAGAATAAACTCTGACTGTTGGAACAGAATAAACTCTGACTGTTAGAAACAGAATAAACTCTGACTGTAGAACAGAATAAACTCTGACTGTTGGAACAGAATAAACTCTGACTGTTAGAACAGAATAAACTCTGACTGTTAGAACATAATAAAACCTCTGACTGTTGGAACAGGAATAAACTGACTGTTGGAACAGGAATAAAACTCTGACTGTTAGGAACAGAATAAACTCTGACTGTTGAGAACGAGAATAAACTCTGACTGTTAGAACAGATAAACTCTGACTGTTGAACAGAATAAACTCTGACTGTTGGAACAGAATGAACTCTGACTGTTGAGAACAGAATAAACTCTGACTGTTGGAACAGAATAAACTCTGACTGTTAGAACAGAATGAAACTCTGACTGTTAGAACAGAATAAACTCTGACTGTTAGAACAGAATAACTCTGACTGTTAGAACAGAATAAACTCTGACTGTTGGAACAGAATAAACTCTGACTGTTTGGAACAGAATAAACTCTGACTGTTAGAACAGAATGAAACTCTGACTGTTGGAACAGAAATAAACTCTGACTGTTGGAACAGAATAACCTCTGACTGTTGGAACAGAATAAACTCTGACTGTTGGAACAGAATAACTCTGACTGTTGAACAGAATAAACTCTGACTGTTAGAAACAGAATGAACTCTGACTGTTAGAACAGAATAAACTCTTGACTGTTGGAACAGAATAAACTCTGACTGTTAGAACAGAATAAACTCTGACTGTTGGAACAGAATAAACTCTGACTGTTGGAACAGAATAAACTCTGACTGTTGGAACAGAATAAACTCTGACTGTTAGAACAGAATAAACTCTGACCTGTTAGAACAGAATAAACTCTGACTGTTAGAACAGAATAAACTCTGACTGTTGGAAACAGAATAAACTCTGACTGTTAGAACAGAATGAACTCTGACTGTTAGAAACAGAATAAAACTCTGACTGTTAGAACAGAATAAACTCTGACTGTTAGAACAGAATGAAACTCTGACTGGTTAGAACAGAATAAACTCTGACTGTTGGAACAGAATAAACTCTGACTGTTAGAACAGAATAAACTCTGACTGTTGGAACAGAATAAACTCTGACTGTTGGAACAGAATAAACTCTGACTGTTGAAACAGAATAAACTCTGACTGTTGGAACAGAATAAACTCTGACTGTTGGAACAGAATAAACTCTGACTGTTAGAACAGAATAAACTCTGACTGTTAGAACAGAATAAACTCTGACTGTTAGAACAGAATGAACCTCTGACTGTTGGAACAGAATGAACTCTGACTGTTAGAACAGATAAACTCTGACTTTTGAACAGAATGACATCTGACTGTTAGAACAGAATAAACTCTGACTGTTAGAACAGAATAACCTCTGACTGTTGGAACAGAATAAACTCTGACTGTTAGAAACAGAAGAACTCTGACTGTTGGAACAGAATGAACTCTGACGGTTGAACAGAATGAACTCTGACTGTTGGAACAGAATAACTCTGACTGTTAGAACAGATAAACTCTGACTGTTAGAACAGAATAAACTCTGACTGTTGGAACAGAATAAACTCTGACTGTTGGAACAGAATAAACTCTGACTGTTGGAACAGAATAAACTCTGACTGTTGGAACAGAATAAACTCTGACTGTTAGAACAGAATGAACTCTGACTGTTAGAACAGAATAAACTCTGACTGTTAGAACAGAATAACTCTGACTGTTTGGAACAGAATAAACTCTGACTGTTAGAACAGAATGAACTCTGACTGTTAGAACAGAATAAACTCTGACTGTTTAGAACAGAATAAACTCTGACTGTTAGAACAGAATAACTCTGACTGTTGAACAGAATAAACTCTGACTGTTGGAACAGAATAAACTCTGACTGTTAGAACAGAATAAACTCTGACTGTTGGAACAGAATAAACTCTGACTGTTGGAACAGAATAAACTCTGACTGTTGGAACAGAATAAACTCTGACTGTTAGAACAGAATAACTCTGACTGTTGGAACAGAATAAACTCTGACTGTTGGAACAGAATAAACTCTGACTGTTAGAACAGAATAAACTCTGACTGTTGGAACAGAATAAACTCTGACTGTTAGAACAGAATAAACTCTGACTGTTAGAACAGAATGAACTCTGACTGTTGGAACAGAATGAACTCTGACTGTTAGAACAGAATAAACTCTGACTGTTAGAACAGAATAAACTCTGACTGTTGGAACAGAATGAACTCTGACTGTTAGAACAGAATGAACTCTGACTGTTAGAACAGAATGAACTCTGACTGTTAGAACAGAATAAACTCTGACTGTTGGAACAGAATAAACTCTGACTGTTGGAACAGAATGAACTCTGACTGTTGGAACAGAATGAACTCTGACTGTTAGAACAGAATAAACTCTGACTGTTGGAACAGAATAAACTCTGACTGTTGGAACAGAATGAACTCTGAGACTTCATGGTGTGTATTTCCTGTCTCCGGGCAGATGTCCGAACCCTGCTGATGATACGGTGCAGATGCAGGGAAACGGACAGGGAACGTCCAGCGTGTTCTCCTTCAACATGTTCGAGTTCTCTGGAGCAAGCAGTGAAATCTACCTGCACTGCAAACTGGAGCTGTGCCTCACACAGGGCCAGGCCTGCACTCCGGTACACACCGAGTACTAATACACACAGTACACAGAGTGCTAATACACAGAGTACACAGAGTACTAATACACAGAGTACACCGAGTACTAATACACAGAGTACACAGAGTGCTAATACACAGAGTACACAGAGTACTAATACACAGAGTGCTAATACACAGAGTACACAGAGTGCTAATACACAGAGTACATAGAGTACTAATACACAGAGTGCTAATACACAGAGTACTAATACACAGAGTACACCGAGTACTAATACACAGAGTACACAGAGTGCTAATACACAGAGTACACAGAGTGCTAATACACAGAGTACATAGAGTACTAATACACAGAGTGCTAATACACAGAGTACTAATACACAGAGTACACAGAGTACTAATACACAGAGTACACAGAGTACACAGAGTACTAATACACAGAGTACACAGAGTGCTAATACACAGAGTACACAGAGTACTAATACACAGAGTACACAGAGTGCTAATACACAGAGTGCTAATACACAGAGTGCTAATACACAGAGTGCTAATACACAGAGTACACAGAGTGCTAATACACAGAGTACACAGAGTACTAATACACAGAGTACACAGAGTGCTAATACTCAGAGTACATAGAGTACTAATACACAGAGTGCTAATACACAGAGTACTAATACACAGAGTACACAGAGTACTAATACACAGAGTACACAGAGTACACAGAGTACACAGAGTACTAATACACAGAGTACACAGAGTGCTAATACACAGAGTACACAGAGTACTAATACACAGAGTACACAGAGTGCTAATACACAGAGTGCTAATACACAGAGTGCTAATACACAGAGTGCTAATACACAGAGTACACAGAGTACTAATACACAGAGTACACAGTGTACTAATACACAGTGTACTAATACACAGAGTACTAATACACCGAGTACTAATACACAGAGTACTAATACACAGAGTACACAGAGTGCTAATACACAGAGTGCACAGAGTGCTAATACACAGAGTACACAGAGTGCTAATACACTGAGTACTAATACACCGAGTACTAATACACAGAGTACTAATACACAGAGTACTAATACACAGAGTACACAGAGTACTAATACACAGAGTGCTAATACACAGAGTACACAGAGTACTAATACAGAGTACACAGAGTACTAATACACAGAGTACACAGAGTGCTAATACACAGAGTACACAGAGTACTAATACACAGAGTACACAGAGTGCTAATACACAGAGTGCTAATACACAGAGTACACAGAGTACTAATACACAGAGTACACAGTGTACTAATACACAGAGTACTAATACACCGAGTACTAATACACAGAGTACTAATACACAGAGTACACAGAGTGCTAATACACAGAGTGCACAGAGTGCTAATACACAGAGTACACAGAGTGCTAATACACAGAGTACTAATACACAGAGTACACAGAGTGCTAATACACAGAGTACACATAGTGACAATACACAGAGTACTAATACACAGAGTACTAATACACAGAGTGCTAATACACCGAGTACTAATACACCGAGTACTAATACACAGAGTACTAATACACAGAGTACACAGATAAATAATACACAGAGTACACAGAGTACTAACAGTACACAGAGTGCTAATACACAGAGTACACAGAGTGATAATACACCGAGTACTAATACACAGAGTACACAGAGTGCTAATACACAGAGTACTAATACACAGAGTACACAGAGTACTAATACACAGAGTACACAGATAAATAATACACAGAGTACACAGAGTACTAACAGTACACAGAGTGCTAATACACAGAGTACACAGAGTGATAATACACCGAGTACTAATACACAGAGTACTAATACACAGAGTACTAATACACAGAGTACACAGAGTGCTAATACACAGAGTACTAGTACACAGAGTACTAATACACATAGTACACATCGTACTAATACACAGAGTACACAGAGTACTAATACACAGAGTACACATAGTGCTAATACACTGAGTACTAATACACAGAGTACTAATACACAGAGTACACATAGTACTAATACTCAGAGTACACAGAGTGCTAATACACAGAGTACTAATACACAGAGTACTAATACACAGAGTGCTAATGCACAGAGTACACAGAGTGCTAATACACCGAGTACTAATACACCGAGTACTAATACACCGAGTACTAATACACAGAGTGCTAATACACAGAGTGCTAATACAAAGAGTACACAGAGTACTAATACACAGAGTACTAATACACAGAGTGCTAATACACATAGTACAAAGAGTACTAATACACAGAGTACACAGAGTGCTAATACACAGAGTGCTAATACACAGAGTACACAGAGTTATAATACACAGAGTACAGAGAGTGCTAATACACAGAGTACTAATACACAGAGTACACAGAGTACTAACACACAGAGTACTAATACACAGAGTACTAATACACAGAGTACTAACACACAGCGTACTAATACACAGCATACTGACACACAGAGTACTAAGACACAGAGTACTAATACACAGAGTACTAATACACAGAGTACTAACACACTGAGTACTAATACATCTGTGTGAATTTAAGCTAACTTCCTGTCTGTGAAGCTAACTTCCTGTCTGTGAAGCTAACTTCCTGTCTGTGAAGCAAACTTCCTGTCTGTAAAGCTCACTTCCTGTCTGTGAAGCTAACTTCCTGTCTGTGAAGCTCACTTCCTGTCTGTGAAGCTAACTTCCTGTCTGTGAAGCTCACTTCCTGTCTGTGAAACTAACTTCCTGTCTGTGAAGCTCACTTCCTGTCTGTGAAACTAACTTCCTGTCTGTGAAACTAACTTCCTGTCTGTGTACAGAGCTGTGGGGGGGCAGGTCGCAGGAGGCGCAGATCTGCTATATATGCTGATGGGAACGCGGCCCTCATCACTATGGGATGGAGAAACTGAAGAGCTTTGCATGGTAGGCAGCACCTTCATTTGTTCTTCCTGACGAGTTCCTTAATTAATACAATGTTTAAAGAGTTCCTTGATTAACACAATGTTTAACGAGTTCCTTAATTAATACAATGTTTAAAGAGTTCCTTGATTAACACAATGTTTAACGAGTTCCTTAATTAATACAATGTTTAAAGAGTTCCTTGATTAACACAATGTTTAATGAGTTCCTTGATTAACACAATGTTTAACGAATTCCTTAATTAATACAATGTTTAAAGAGTTCCTTAATTAACACAATGTTTAACGAGTTCCTTGATTAACACAATGTTTAACGAGTTCCTTGATTAACACAATGTTTAAAGAGTTCCTTGATTAACACAATGTTTAACGAGTTCCTTGATTAACACAATGTTTAAAGAGTTCTTTGATTAACACAATGTTTAACGAGTTCCTTCATTAACACAATGTTTAAAGAGTTCCTTGATTAACACAATGTTTAAAGATGTCCTTGATTAACACAATGTTTAAAGAGTTCCTTAATTAACACAATGTTTAAAGAGTTCCTTGATTAACACAATGTTTAAAGAGTTCCTTAATTAACACAATGTTTAATGAGTTCCTTGATTAACACAATGTTTAACGAGTTCCTTAATTAACACAATGTTTAAAGAGTTCCTTAATTAACACAATGTTTAACGAGTTCCTTGATTAACACAATGTTTAACGAGTTCCTTGATTAACACAATGTTTAACGAGTTCCTTAATTAACACAATGTTTAAAGAGTTCCTTAATTAACACAATGTTTAACGAGTTCCTTGATTAACACAATGTTTAACGAGTTCCTTGATTAACACAATATTTAAAGAGTTCCTTGATTAACACAATGTTTAAAGAGTTCCTTAATTAACACAATGTTTAACGAGTTCCTTGATTAACACAATGTTTAACGAGTTCCTTGATTAACACAATATTTAAAGAGTTCCTTGATTAACACAATGTTTAAAGAGTTCCTTGATTAACACAATGTTTAACGAGTTCCTTGATTAACACAATGTTTAACGAGTTCCTTAATTAACACAATGTTTAAAGAGTTCCTTAATTAACACAATGTTTAACGAGTTCCTTGATTAACACAATATTTAAAGAGTTCCTTGATTAACACTATGTTTAAAGAGTTCCTTGATTAACACAATGTTTAAAGAGTTCCTTGATTAACACAAAAGCAGCAGTGTATAAACCATGACTCAGCAGTTTCTCTGTGTTCTCAGCTGATTCCTGACGGTGGAAATGAAGGTCTTGTTGCTGTGAAACTGAGCCGGCACATTATCTGGGATTATTCCTGAGGACTCCAGTTATTCTGAGCTTTAACTTCTTTATGATGTGGGGGTAATAATCAAAAGGGGTTACTTTACTATGTGCACTGGTATATATATATCATTTCTTCTTTAATATACTGTCTGTTTTGAAATGTGCACAGCCTGAAAGCTAGCTGAGTGTTAAAGAAGGGAAACAGGAAGTGAATGATAACTGAAATGTGGATTACTACCCAGGAAGAGGATCAGATCAGATGTAATTCCTCAGAGCACGCTGTTGTACTTTTATTATGATTTTATTACTATGAGAAAAACATGTATTACTTTATTTAGTCCAATGATAATACGATTGAGATATGTAACATCTTTAGGGGAATAATAGAAGTGAAGCATACAGCAGCATTACCAACAACATCCCATCCAATGAAACACACAGGATCAGCTGATACGAGGAACTCCTACACAACACACATCATTCAGTGAAAGATCACCTCTCTGTCATTAGACCCAGATTAGATGAGACGTATTACCTGTCACTGCTGGCAACCTCAGGACATATACGAGTACCGCTCACATCAGATGACGGTGTAGCCAAACATAGATGTATTATTCAATGATCCCAATCCACAGCAACATCGTCTAAAACTCTACGCTCATTTGATATATTTGTTTTTCCAAGAATAAAATGAAGCGCAGATCAAAAATGAAAACACGAAGAAGCACAAAACTTCTTAACTTGAGACGTTGTGAGTTTTAAAGAAGTGAATTATTATCAGACTGAAGTCATTCCCAATGGAGAGGTTGTTGCACGCTGTTGTACCTTTACTAGGGTGTTATTACTATGAGCCAAACATATATTACTTTATTTAGTAATACATGTATTATATTTAGAAATGTAATATCTTAATATGTGATGAAGAAAAATGATCAGAAAAGTGTTTTATTAGGATGATTTTATTAGTATACGCAGACAGGTTAGGGTTAGTCCACCAATTGATGTGACGTACAAATAAGATTCAGTCATTGAGCAATTATATCTATAAATGTAACAATTAGATTTAGAAATGTAACACCTTTAGTGAAATAACAGAAGTGTCTAATGAAGGGTTTAGAGGGGTGATTTTACTATGTGCACTGGAATATATATATATATAATTTCTTCTTTAATATACTGTCTGTTTTTAAATGTGCACAGCCTGAAAGCTACCTGAGTGTTAAAGAAGGGAAACAGGAAGTGAATGAGAACTGAAATGTGGATTACTACCCAGGAAGAGGATCAGATCAGATGTCATTCCTCAGAGCACGCTGTTGTACCTTTTTATTGTGATTTTATTACTAATGGAACCAAAAACAATGAATAAAGTGAGTGGGAAAAATAAACATGAGTCTCAGTCGTTCATTCATTGAGAGTGTGTGCGTGTGTGTCTGTGTGTTAAAGTTTGATCAACACTGCCTATTTTTAAATTTTGATCCGAGTTTGGGAAGATTCCACTTGAAGTTAAGCACAAAATGGCATCCGTCTGTTTTAAGGCGAGAAATAAACAGTACAGTAACAGAATCTTGATTTGTGTTTGATCAAAACTGCTTATTTTACCAGTTAAAATATGTATTTTTCAGCCTTGGTTGAGAAAAAGGACACAATATGATGGCTGTATGTTCAGAAACTTTCAAAACCAGAAGCACATACATTTTGTGTCAGTTATTTATAATTTGTAACATTGTAAGCATGTTTTTAATAAGCAGAAAAGCTCTTATAACATGAATGGCATGGTGGTTTTAGTTAACGTTAGCTACCTTTGCTATTAGCTAACATTAGGATTAGCCTGCCAGGAGTTTTAGCTATATTGACCTTATAAACCAACACATTCTCACTCCCAACTCGGCCTACCAGGATAAATATGTTTTATTGTTGAGTAAATAACAGTGTGGTTTAGAAAATAATACAATATTAGAAGGAAAAAACGATGAAACAACACAGATGTCAGTATTCTGAGCCCTACTCTCCCCATAACTGACGGCAACAAAAGTCCTATATTATTCAATTAAAATAAAGAAGTAAAAACAATAAGTGTGGCTTGATATTGAGTTAGAAAAAGGTTGATAAACGCTGTGAGAATGGATCTGCGGAGAGCATTTCACCGCGATCCCAACTCCTCTATTACCAACGTTCAGGGAGCTCTATGCAAGTCAATGGGACGCCCTGATAGTTGAAACTCAACGCTAACGGGCCCCCCCTTGCGTTGGAAAGTGACGACAGGGACCCTGACATAACGTCAACATGGGCCGAGTTGGGAGTGAGAATGTGTTGTATCAGGGTATATGCAGGAATCCTGAAGTCAAATGTAATACCTTTTAAGACCTTTTTTAAGACCCTTTCCATACATTTTAGACCTCATCGCCACTTTGAGTTTTAACCGGTTACATTGGCACTTTAACTCACATTTACTATATACAGTATTGATTTTCCCACCTCCTTCCAACCATTTGGACGCAAACTTGCCTTTCCCCATAACGATGTTGTTTAACAACCGGCGTAAACGGACCTTCGCGCGCTATCAGTCAGTGAGCGTGCGATGTCCTGTTCAGATGACGTCAAACCCAACGGGATGCCACAAATAAACTACACAGAATCACACCACATACCTACGCAATGATTACATTCAGGCACACTGTAGAATACAACCTCTTTGTACAATTCATATACTTATTGAAAACAAGCTACACAATGTAATTCCTTGGACAATGCCGTTTAATACTTTGAAATAGCCTTAATTTTCGCTAAATTTATTTATGAACTTTTAATACTTTTTAAGACCCCATGGACACCCTGTGTATAAACAGTCAAATTAACAGCCACATTTAAATGTCGTGTAAGTACGGCTGACAATGCAAATACTCAGTGAAGCTGAATAACTTATATAATGTTCTTATCCGGACGTAAGAGCCGCAGACTTAACACAAGGTTAAACTGCTCTCAAAATGAAGAAAAAGAGTCATTGTTGTAGTTGGGAAACTTTACTGGTAACTCCTTCACCATGACATGGAGTGAAAACTGTAACAATAAATACAGAATCCAAAACGATTGTAGGCTTGTGTTGTCTATTAGTTGCATTGTAAATGTATACCAGAGGTGGGGACTCGAGTCACATGACTTGACTCGAGTCCGACTCGAGTCGCATATTTTTGGACTTGAGACTTGCTTGACTAACATTGATAAAAGACTTGACTTGACTTTGACTTGGTATTCATGACTTGAGACTTGACTTAAGCTTGACTTAATGTTTGTTTTTGTATTGAGATATTACGTTTAGTTTTTTTTAATGTGTGCGCGCAGACCTGGCAACCCACTAGAAGGCAGGAGTGTCAGTTAACATGGCTGCGGCTAGCGTTACTCCAAAAATAGTCATGTTTCGATTCAAGGATCATGTTGTCGATGGCACTAATAATAAAAAAACAGCGGTATGCAGGGTCTGCAACATACAGTTCGGTGACAGGACCACCACGACATCCAACTTCATTCGTCACTACAAAAGAACCCACAGAGAAAGGTAGGCTACGTGCATGTGTTGTGTTAGCTAAAAAGCTAACGTTAAGTTTAAGCTACGTTAGACTTGGTATCAAATTGATTAAGCAAAGAGAAGACAAAACGGTAAATGAACACTAGAACCATCAAGGGATTCATTTGTACCCTGATAGAGAGAGAGAGAGAGAGAGAGAGAGAGAGAGAGAGAGAGAGAGAGAGAGAGAGAGAGAGAGAGAGAGAGAGAGAGAGAGAGAGAGAGAGAGACCTTGTTTATCTCCCCTGTGTTATTATCAGAAGTTACTGTAAACTTTTGAATAATGTAGTTCTTCTACTTTTAGTAGTTTGTTTAAAATGTTTTAATGATGTTGTTTTTGTTTATAGAAGTGCATCATTCATTGATTTATTGTAAAATTAATCTGAACTTTTTGATCTGTTATGATGATAAACTGAAGCAATTTCAAACTTAACACAATTAATTGAATTTTAAATCGTCCTACTTAGTTTATAAGGAAATTATGAAGAGGAACAAATTAAATGATTTGAAAATTATATCTATGTAGGTGCTGACGCTGTTGGTGGTTCTAGTGTTAACATACATTTCAATTTAATATGTGTAATAGCAAATGCCATATATGATTTTCTTACCTGGAATTCTGCATTTTTGAAAAGACTTTTTGAGTCCTTGCTATATTGTCTGCAGTTCTAGGGTTAATATTAATCTAATATGATTGTCATCGATCTAAATTAGATTTCAAATTATTAACCTCTTAAGCCCGAGGGTCCCCCCAGTGGACCCCTCCCACCGTTTTTTACGAGACTATGTCTCAGGGCTTCTTAACATTTATGAAACTATTAATATTCCATACCCTTTTACCGGTAGGAAACTCAGCTAACTGACAATGTGAACCATTTTTAGCTAACAGAAACACAAGAGTAATGCCAAGCCTTTTAATTAGCATGGAGCGAAAAAATGCTAACTAATGCTAACGGACTTTTGCACAGCACTCACGGTAGAAATGCCCTTATTACTTATCGTAACTGCACAAACAAGATATCCGATTAAAGCTGAGACTCCACAGATTCCACACATGTAATGTCATCACTGTATGACCCCGAATTCCTGGAGCTATCAGCCAGAAAAGAGAAAGTAAACAACATCCGGTTTCAAAAATATTACAATAATTACGTCTTCCCTTTTTTGATTTGTGATCAAAAGTTGTGTTCAACGGAATACAAACGCCGCTCAAGGTTAATCCAATGTCTTTGTGTCACGTAGACATTTTTACTGATAATCCATCATCATATTTATGGCAATATACTGGGTATGAAGTTTTGCCGTCCAGGCTTGTACTTTCAGATATGCTTCGTTTGCTTCTATATTACGTCCGCAATGGTAATGTTTACGTGGATTTGGGAACTGCCCATCGATTCTATTGGATGTAATGGTTAAGAAAAAGGTGTAAATCACCCAAATCGACCAATGGGTTCCAGAGATATGGTCCTGCGTAAAGTATAAAGAATGCCAGCCAGCGTAAGTACATTACGCAGCAGACTTTACTTATTGTTTACTACGGAAGGAAGCAGGACCCAGAGCGCACGGAGTACAGAGCGGACAGCAGATAACGGAATTGCAGTTTTATTGCTTATAGATTATCAGAACATTTCAAAGGGGACACAGCCCCATTGGATATTAACCTATGGATTAACTACATCATCGTTTTTATCGTTTTAATGCCATTGAAGACCAGTTTAGAGCAGACAAAGAGGAAGGTAAGCCATGTTAGCCTAGCGCATGTTAGTACCTAGCGCCACTTGTTTTGATGTACGTTTTTGTTGTCGCGAGTTTGTATCTTTCAGTGTTGAGGTGGGCACCGTTAGATTTTGTGTCTTTACTATCATAAACAATGTGTTGGATGTGCAGCTAGGATAAGTAATAAGGGAGCTAGGAGTGATTTTC